ACATACCAATCCAATCAACTGAATGTGCCAGATCAAAACATCTTTGTAGTCTTCCATTTGTTCAACACAGATGGACAGAAGGAAAGAGATAGATGTTTTTAGGAACAGAAGTTTCTCAGAGAACTTTTATTAACCGGGAATTATCAGAGCAGTTCTATCTGGGTAGTTAGAAAAGTATCCAATTATTTGTAACAAAGAAATGCTGAAAGAATGCTTTTAAAAAGTATTCTACTGGAAAACTTATCCTGAAACTCACATTAGCTCTTGGTGTAATAAACTTAAACGGGAATCCACTCATTTAAGGAAAAATTAAAACAAGAAATCAAGAAAACTACCGACTATTTGGCAAACGAATCCAAAAGCTCAAATCCTGTTTTAATCCTCCAAGCTCTGCACACACACAAACTAATAAAACATTTATACATGTGGATTCTGTATCCAAAGAGTTTAAAACAACCCAAGTTCTTCTGAATTTTTAGCCGAAGCTCTAACAAGATAGCTCTTTTTCTGTTTAAAATGTTATTTCAAATTATTTTTTGTACTAATCCGACAACAGTTACCCCGATTGTAAATTTAGTCACCTCCTGATCCCCTTGCCCATCCTCTGGATTTGAGGCAAAAGGAAAAGGGTAGAAAGTTCGGGAGGCAGGCATAGTCTGGCACACAAGTTGCCTGCTAGCTTGGCGTATATTTTTTACTATGTGGAGGACTTCACTTCCTCGTGTGTGAAATAAATGGGCTCTCCTTGTTAAACCAGAGACCATCGAACTTTGTCTTTCAAGGGCCAGAGGAAGTATTTTTGGCTTGATGAGCCTCACAGTCTCTACCCCACTTCACTGGGCCATGGAGTGCAGAAGCAACCTTAGACGATATGTAAACAAAAGAGTAGGGTTTAAGTGATTCAATCTGGCCTTCCCAGTTATAAATGGAACAAACGAATTGTGTGTATATATAGCTCTTAAAATCCAGTTATCTGTTGTGCAAATAAGAGGTCCCATTAATACCAGCTCAGGTGCCTATACAGGACAGGATTTTGATAACAGCTCAATACCCAGCAATTAAGCATAGCCTCAATTTTTGACAACACAGTCAACTTTTGATGGGAATGAAGCACTCTCTGTGACGCAGACAAGCAATTTCCTGACATCAGAATGGCGGGGCTCTGAGGGCCCAAGTTCAGGTCCAGCCTGGAAGATGAAAAACCTGGAGAGCCGTAAACCACAGGGAGCTAAGGGTCATAGAACAGGCTCTGATGCCCTTGCTGAGTATACACAAAAACAGGGACATTACTTCATTAACTTACCCACTAAAATATCCTGTTAGCCATCTGGCCCAATACCACTCATTTATTAAATAACCTCTGCATTTCCCAGTGGTTTAAAATATACCTTGGCCCTCCCTGGTGGTGCAGTGGGTTAAAGTGCAGTACTGCAAGCCTGCCAGCTGCTTCGGTGTGAGTTCGATCCCCACCCCAGAGGTGACCCACCTGGCACAGCAGACCTCTCCTGACCTGTCCGCTGCTCCCCTCAGCAGTGTACTTCATCGATCTGCCTGTTCTGCTCCCCACTCTGTCTCTGGTGAATCCTCTCACTGCCCCTGAGCCTCAGGCCTGCATCCCGTTCTGTATGCATAAATAATAAATCTTAAAAATAGATACCTACCATCAACATGATCTATATTGCAGTCTGCTTCCTCTGCTTGACAATCTTTCATGACATTTCTTTAATTTTTCTGGATTCTTTATATCTCAACAATTCTTACAAAGCCTCCATTGCTCCTCTCTTAAATGATGCTCTGAGAGGCTCTCTTCTAGAGGCTTGCCCTCGGATTCTGCATAGCTTCCTGCGGGTGTGCAGGTTGTATACACTGTGAAGTGTTGCAGGTCAAGGAGAGAGAGTAGGTCTGAAGCTCATTCTATTTTCTGCTGGCCAAGTGGGCATCTAGCCATCTCCCTAGTTTCCCATCTTTAATTCAGATGTCTCCGGAGTCACAGACTCACCCATCCAAACACAGGGAAGCTGTGTCTCCCTGAATGTCCCCCAAGAAACTATACACTGAACATGGATAGACTGTCATTCTTCCAAGCCCCCTCTTCTCTCACGTCCTGCCCCCATGGTGGAGAGCTTAGATGTCTCTCTCTAGGAGTGAGATCAGAATCACACAGCTATTTGACAGGTGCTATCCTGCAGAAGGAGAGCAGGTTCAAAAATTTGAAAAGCATCCCAGCAGCTAAACACAACCAATCTAAGAAGGGATCCCATAGGAGAATGAGAAAGACAGTGAGGCTACCACTCCCTGAGACTAAAGAGCAAAATCCTTAATGTGATGTTCAGGGTCTGCACAGTGGCTCCAAACATGAATAACTCTTTGACATCAGGAAGGCCATTTGCCGTCCTCCAGCCCTTTTCTCATCCTCCCTGTCTCAGTTGAAGGCCACCTCCTCCTCCGGGAAGCTTTCCCTGACCTCCCAAGTTTTCTCTGGGACATACTCCCTTAACACCCCAGACTTTGCAGCCCTGCTCCTGGTTGCAATCAAATGCATATTCATTACATAAGCACTTGGAGGACAGCGACTCCTTTTTTAAAGTATTCTATCTGCAGCATGCAACACTGCTGAGAACATATTGATATTTAAGGCCCAGCAAGTGTCTGTTGAATGCATGAGTCAATCAACCAGATAGATACACAAAGAAGAAAACAACTGATATGTGTCTAGAACACAAGACCACGGAGCCAGGGTTCCCACAGGCATAACAGGGAAGGAAAGGAAGCAGGACCAGGCCCACGGAGCCAACCGACAGCCTGGAGCAGGGCCGGCGGCCAAGTAGGACCTGTGCTGGCTGGTTCCCATCAATTCCTGAACTGAAATCCTCTTTTACACTTTTAAGGGATTTAAAAAAGAATCCAAAGAAGACAACTATTTCATGGCATGTAAAAGTGACTTGAAATTCATGTCAGCGTTCATAGATGAAGTTTTATTGGAACACAACTATCCTCGGTTTATGTTTTGTTTGTGGCTGTTTGCACATGACAATGGTGAGCTGAATAACTATGACAGGGACCATGTGAGCTCCAAATACTTATTACCGGCCCTTAACAGAAAAAAATCGCTGACCCCTGGCCCAGGGTGTCTTGGGATGCTATACCTTAAGACCCACAACAAACCTCACACCCAGGGGAACATGATGAGGGCTGGCAGAAATAAAAGGCTTGAGACACTGTCGATGTAAAATGGGACTTACATGCCCCTTGCTAAGGAGGAGACTAGTTCAATTTATGGCTGCACACACTGTGTGGACTATTGCACGGCTGTGTTAAAAGTGAGTTAGACTGAAATGGGCAAGTGTAGAAAGATGCCTATAAGTCACTATTATAGCGATTTATAAAACAACATGGATAGTATTTTCCAATGTATTGAAAAGAATGACTGTGTGCATGTGAGAGAATACAAATGTCTAGAAGGATATGCCTGATAAATAACTCTGGAGAGCTGGACCAGGGATTTTCACTTTTATTTTCAACAGTTTTTGCACTCACTGAATTTTTTTAATGATGATATATTGTTTTCATTAACTGACTATGACTGTGTGTGATGATACATTCATATGTATATCCATATATATGTGTGGCTATTCATACATATATTATCTATTTAATTTGGTGTGTTTGTACATGTACGTACCTGTATATGTATATATGCATGTATATTTTAGAAAGTCATCTCCTTTTCAGGACAGTAGCTAACTCAAGACAAGAATGGGTTGAAATTTTTGATGATCTCAGGATCATATGGTCCAATTTCCGCATTTTATAGATGGGGAGCTGCAGAGAAGCACACTTTCCTCTGAAATTGCAAAGTCTGATAACAGTGGAAAGCTGCTTGTGCTGGTTTTGAGGAAGCTTAAGGTTAGAATGGGCAGAAGAAGTCCTACTTCCCTTTTTCTAGAAAGCACAGTCACCTCTTCAACAGGAACAACAGCTCCTTGAGTCTGTGGAGGCCAAGATGCCAGGGATAAGAACAAACCAGCTGCCCAGGGCCAGCTGGCAGCTGTAGCACCTGCTAAACAGCAGCTGGTTCTCCTGTCCCCCAGACTCCACATAGTCACAAGTCACACTAACGGCTTCTCCATATGGGGACAGGTGACCAGAAGTCAGTTGGGTACAGCCAGGGAAGTGAGAAGTTAAGGCGAAGCCAACAGGTGGATTTCATGTTGGGCCTCGGCCCCCACACATCTCTGGCGACTACCAAATAAGACCTCCGTCCTCTGTCTCTTGTAGAGATGTCCTTGGAGAGTCGCAGAGGCTTGGCTCGGCCTGATGCTCCTGAGAAAACAGCCTGCCGCCCTGCTCTGCTTAGCTTCTCACGGATCCTGTCACACTCCTCAGACACAATTTCTCCAGCTTCTGGAGGCCATTCTCCAGCCCACATCTTGGGACCCTGGAATTGCAGGGAAGGCCCAAGAAGTCTCTGATAATAGCAGGGAGGTGCAGTCCTATTCAACTCCCAGGGAACCAGTGTTATCAGTGAGAATAAAGAAACCATAAATACCCTCAATAGCATTTCTCAAAGAACATTCCAAGAAATAGCAATATGTGGGAAGAGAAAAGGATGTTGTGATGAATTAGGGAAATCCCACACAGACAACTCATGTGGGGCCCTTATATTATGCAGATTTGAACCTGGTTTAAATCTTAAACAGGACAGGTGTTGGTGTTGACTATAGAAGCTTCTAAGATCCCAATTTGGAAACACTGTCCCAGAGCAAGAGGCCAGGTTTAGGAAGGTGCTAGAATGGGTGTGAGGGTCCCTGAAGGGCGGCCTTCCTGACCCAGCTCAGACCCATTCTGCCTAGCTCTGTGGGAAACCAGACTGCACATCAGCTTTCGAGGTTGATCTCTGGAGATCTACAGAGCAAGAGGTGGACAGGGAAGAGAGATCTGCCCCTCCAGAGAGACAGCAGCTCAGGGGTTGGTGAGGATGCTTCCCCAGGGGCACTCACCATTGGTGGTCGTGTTGACATAGTAACGCCGGCCCTGAGGAGACAAGTAGCTTTGCCAGCCAGGGGGAAGAATGACAGTCTGGCTTTCCTCTCCCGGCGGAGGGGGGACCATCCCAGGCTTCTGTAAGGAGAAAAGAAAAGATCAAATTTGGCACTACTGCAACTGCTTTTCAATCAGTAAGTTAAAGGCAACTGAAATCAGCCTGGAATAGCCCCATGCTGGAGGATGCATGTCCCACAGACCTCCCTGGGGGTCAGAGGCCTCACATGAGTGATTCTGGGGACCGTCTGAGCATGAGGTGTGAGGAACACTTGTTTATTCAGTCACCAGAGCAGCAGCAGCTTTCCTGAGAGAACAGAGGGGAAATGCCAGATAACACTGGACTTTCTCTTTGTTGCCCCCTAGAAAACTGCCCACTGGTGCTGTGTGTTTGCACGGGTCGGGGGGTGGGGATGTCACTCAGGAAGGCCTGTCACTCAGCACGTTCCCCGTGTATAACCTGAAGCCTGAACTCCCTGGGACTGCTGTATGTAGCAGCAGATGAGGCCCAGCACCTGCTGTGCAAACCCACCAGAAATAATTGACGCAAGTCTCAGCAAAGCGAGATGTAAAACCAATAGCGACTCTGAGAATCAATGAAGAGCTAGCTGGGGTTTTTCTTGTGAAGTGTCCAAATCACTCTAGCAGAGAGATTGAGGATCCAAGTTGCAACAGAGACTTTCTTTTCATCTTATGCACTTATGTGCTGTTAATTCATTTAACCGTGCAGTGGTTCTACTCTTAAAAATATCCATTGGAGAGAAATATATGAAACCGAAGCTGGGTGTAGCAACAGGTATTAAAACAGAGGTGATTTCTGGTAGTGGGATTCTGGGCAATTTTGATTCTCTTCTTTTTACTTATTTTTTTTCCCATCTTCAATACAAACAAGAGCTGTCAGCTAAAGAACATTTAGAAATAAGGACAGAGGATCCAAATTAGCCCACACAATTGCTGTGTCTTGTGAAGGAACGAAATTGACTAAAATCAGAATTCCAGCCACACAGGCAGAGGGCCACAGATTTCTCAGCAAAGTTAGACCCTACTCAGTTCCTAAACACCCCTAGCAATGCCCACAGAAGGGGTTTTGGCTCACAGATGCCCACTGCTTGGGAATACAAGGCAGCTGAGTACAAGAAAGCAGCAAGACACACGGCTGCCAGCCTGCTCTTGTGCTTTCTGAGGGCTGCAGAACCACATGCTGCAGCTTCCCACGGTGACTTGCACGCCCTCAGCAGGGATTAGATCAATCCTAGCTGCTCCTGGGACTTGAAGTAAACACAGCTTCCCTGTGGCCTTCTGTGTAGCGGTGGTGTCTGTTTCATTATGAATTTTCACAATTTAATTAAAAGCTTTCCCCGATGCCCTGAGTGCTTTTGTCTCCCACACCTGTTAACCAGCAGCACCCCTTTGATTCAGTAAGCCTGCTCTGAATCAGCACCTGCCTCAGGTGCTGGTGAGACAGACAGTAGGCGGGCCACCTTCTCGCGAGTGGAACACATCCTCTGGGCTCAGGGATGCACCTGAGCATGCTTCTCTGGCCTCCAGACTCTGCCCTGTTTCTCCATTTGGAAGGTGATTCAAATGCAGGTAAGGCAAACTGCCTTACAATGCATCCAGTGTGTGCGAAACTATGCAAAATCTCACATACCAGAGAGGCACATTTTGGCAAAGATGGTCTGGGAGTAAAGTAGGGACCAGAGAAGTTCAGGGTGCTGGAAATGAGTTTCAGAAATATTCTAGAGTCAGGCAAGTAAGATATTAAATGACTTCTGCTTGAGTCAGAGACCTTAGCATATCTAAGATGGGAAGACTGGCATTTGTCCAAATAACCAGGGAGGAAATAGGAAATTGTTAAAGGGTATTAAGCAAAGGTCAGATTGACATGGCCAGAAATAGGCTGCAGAGGTGGAAGGGACCCAGAAACCCAGTGAAAATCTCTTTGTTCTCCAGACTTGGACTCAAAAATGCCTCTAGTTTTAACCTCGACTTGGCCACTTAGTAACCACGTGGTTCAGGGATGTGAGTCAAGTAGCTGCATCTATTTCTGTATCTATAAAACGGAGGGTGGTGATACAAACCCAGTTGGAAGAGCTGTGGAATGAACAATAATGAATACAGCACCTAGCAGAGTGTCTGTCACCAGGAGTGATCAATAAATGGGGTTCTCAGCAGAAGGGGGGGGCGCGTCTAAATGCCGAGCAAGATCAGGCTTCACATGTCTAATGTGATGTGAAGTTCAGAGATGTGTATACCAGCCTCCATCCCAACCTCAGCATCACTGTGTCTGAAATGTCACATTAATAGTCACTTCTCCGAGGCTTCTGTTTCCAAGACTACCCCGCTATTAAGGCACACACAGACCTGAGAGGAGGTTAACACATTAAGACACCAACTAATACTGACTAACGCATTCTGGTCAGAAGGCTGGTGGATGACCTACTTACCTGCGCCCATGGAGTCGGTGGACAGAACCTTTGTGGCCCTCCTGGGAAACAGAGACAGCAACTCCTCTCTGGAGTTGCATAATGTTTTTCTCTCTAGACAGACTCTGGTGATTTTATCCAATTCTGTGGGTTCAGAATAAACCCTGGTTTACAACTGAGGGCCCTGATGACCAAGAAGGTGTCATGGCTGCTCTGAGGTCTCCCCCATTTTTTAAATGCAGGACTACCAGCTTGAACCCCACCTCCCAGTTGGCCAGGAAGGGCCAACTTGGCCTATTTCCTGATTGGTCAACGTGGCAAGGATGACTCACAGCCTCCTCCAGCACCCCTGTGGTCCCACTGCACCCACCTCCTCCCGCCCCGCACCCATGCAGTCCTCTAGCCTTTCCTCTGTCCCAGAAAGGCATGCCTCCATCTGGCTAAAACAGGTCAGGAATCAAGAGACATAGAGAAGATGGGTCCAGAACAAAGAGGTCCGAAAACAGCACTCAAACACTGACACAAACATGTTCACAGCAGTAGCAGCCAGAGAAGTGAAACATGTCCATGAAAAGAAATACCTAGTCACAGGCTGCACAAGGGTAGCACAAGGGGTTAATGATCTATAGAGCTATCTGCAGCCACTGCAGCATGAGTTTGATCCCCGGCCACAGAGCTGACCCACAGGGCACAGCAAACCTTTTCTTCTCACCCGCTGCTCCCCGCAGCAGTGTGTTTCAGTAGATCTGCCTGTTCTGCTCCCCACTCTGTCTCTGGTCAATCCTCTCAGCAATCCTCTCCCCACCCCCCAACACACAATTCTGGCTTCTACCCTGGTTCTTGTCTGCATTAATAAATAATTTTTTAAGAAAGAAAGAAAGAAATACCTAGTCACCCACTATACCAGAGTGGACCTTGCCATCATGCTAGGAGAAGTATGCTAGACACAAGGGTGCAGATTGTTGGGCTTTGTGCAATATCCAGAACATGCAAATGCAGAGATACAGGGAATCTCTGCAGGGACTGGGGGGGAGTGACACAGGGCTTACTCTGTAAAATATCCTGGAGTGAGATAGTGGGAATGATTGCGCAAAATTGAATATAAAAGTTACTGATAACTTTTACATAAGGTGTATTTTATCAAAATAAAACAATTGTTTGGAAGATGTGGAAAAGGCAGGAAATAGGCCCCCTATCTGCACACCTTAGTTAAGAAACCCAAACCACCAACATTACTTCACCCCTCATGGCTGTGGAGGAGCAGGACTCTGGGAGAGCTGCCCCAGAGCCATCAGGTGGGTTCAGTGAGTAACAACCCAGTAATTAAGGTCTTTCCCAACTTATTCTTCTAATTACCTTCTTTCCAAGTTAAATTTTTCCCTTCCTTCCCTAGTCCTGGGGCTTCTTTTCCTCTTCCATTCTGTCAGTTCTTTCCCGTGGGAATAGGAACAGGAAGCAGTGGAGACACAGGCCCTAAGATTGGGGGCCCAGCCTACAGGGACAAGTTTGGAAGTGGTGGGAATAGGGAGAGAGGAAGACAGTGCCCCCAACTCAGAAATTCTTAACCAAATGCTCAGAGACTTTGTTGAAACTGTAACACATGCCTCCTTCCTCATGGGCTGGAGCGCAAGCCTGGCTTTCAGTCTCCTAGGCTTCCTCAGCTGGGCCACCTTGTTCAGTAAGCAACCTGTTCAACTGTCCATGGATGCCCAACCCCTGAGACTCAGAGAAAAACGATGGCTCTTCTGCCCCTGATACAGATGCATGAATGCACATCTACACTCATCCTACTTTGTATAGAATATCGAGCGGTTTCTAAGCCACTTCAGAGCCTAGAGTACCTACTCCAGCAGGTATTCAAGAAACAGCCGGCTCAGAGGCTGCTTGTGCCTATCAACAGTGACTTTTCCACTGACCAAATGTTCACAGTGCACCGAGCACTAGTGACACCTGATGACAAATCCACTTTCCTCCCTTTTTTCAGTGATCTGAGACTCTAGAGAGCTTAACAATTCACCCACCATCATGCAGTTAATTAAATGGTATGATAAACTTTAAAATATTAACTTTATTTTAGAGACCTCGGTCCCATTACCTAAATCCAGGCGAACCCCCCCCCCCCAGCCTTCCCCAGTTCTCCACAGCCAGCTCCATTTCTTCACCTGACCACCTGACACCCAGCTCTCACCCAAGGAGATGCTGAGGCTGGTTCTCCTGCCGTCTCACAGTCCCAGAAGGAGCATATGCCTCCCAGAAGACATGCAGAAATATCACCGCCCACAGCCAGGCAGTCACGTTCCCCGGCTGTGGGCTGTAGGCTGACTTCCTCATCGCCTTATTTAAAACAACACAGCCAAAGAAATTTTCCTCTCAGATAATGGCTACTGAGTCCCCCGGAAAAAAAGAAATGAGCAGGCGAACAAAGAGGAGTCCCCCAGAAATTGCAAACAAGTCCCGATACAGCAGTGATTCTCAAAGTGTGGGCTCCGGGATACTCTATGGTCACCTGGGATGTGGGTTCAAGTGCAGATTCCTGGGCCCCGGTGCAACCACAAAGCCACCTGGAATGTGGGGAGCTGAATTTTAATGCACACCCCAGGTAAGTCTTACACTTCCTGAACTCAGAAAAGACTGACTTCAGCTGTAGAGGGAGCA